ATTCAACACTACGCAATTCCACTAACCTTTATCAGCCTCATTCAACATCTATATGAAGACATCACATGTCAAGTAATTCACAGTGGGAAGCTCACTGATGCTTTTGAGGTGGAGTGAAGACAGGAGTGAAACAAGACTGCCACCTACTATCACCCATCATATTCCTGATTGTAGTCGAGTGGATCATGCAACAAACAGTGGGGAGCGAGAAGAAAGGGGTATACGCTGGACTGCAGAGAAGAACCTAGACGACTTGGATTTCGCCTGTGATGACTTGTGTCTGATGTCACACAAACTCGAAGATGTACAGGCGAAAACTAACAAGTTGACAGAAAAGACAGGGCAGTACAGTGAGTGGAGACGGGACTTCCTTCAAGTGAATATAGAGAAGACAGATATGATGAAGATACCCAACCAACAACACCAGCAACAACAACAAACTCAAACCACCATCAACGGGAGAAACTAAACGAAGTAGCCTCTTCCACCTACACCTATCTAGGCAGCATCCTCTCAACTGCAGGCAGCACAGACGAGGACGTGAAAGTGAGAATAGGAGAGACAGCAGGACAGGCGTTGATCAGCCTGAAACCAGTGTGGAGATCTTCTGCACTGCACTCAGTATACAGCGTGAACAACATCCGGATTTTCAACACCAACGTGAAATCAGTGCTCCTGTATGGTTCAGAGACTTGGTGCGCGACTTAAACCACCAACAGCTGCAGTCTACACTGGCTCGTTACTGAATATCAGATGGCCGGAACAATGAAAATAAGCAACAAGGAACTCGTACTGGTAAGGAACCAACGAATCAAGAATTTATCACTGGAGAAATACGCAGAAGAGGGGAGTGTAGATGGACTGGGCATACACTGAGAAGGCCGACTGGGGACATCATGCGTCGAGCCAGGTTGTCAAGTGGAACCTGGATGAGAGGCGACGAGTTGGGCGTTGGAGGTGAGGGTGACATGGAGGAGGTCGTGTGAGGAGGGAATGAGGGGTTGTGGGCAGTCGTGGAGGCATGTTGAAAAGATTTGAGAGAAGAGCGTGGAATGGAGACGTGCTACTGAATTCCTATGTTCCATTAGGAACTCGAGGGATGAATAATAAATGATAATAATAAGTCTGGAAACAATCAAGTCCATTCTAATAGGTACTTAAACCTTTTAAATTGTATATATTGCTAAAGTTGTCACTGTTGTGGATCCAAACAATGTCAAGTATATCAAAATGACAAGTAACCTACAGTTAAGTATTATGTAATAAGATTAGACAAGTTGATCAAGATGAAATCAATGTTTCCTAAAAAGATTAAGACAATTAAGTGAAATTGCACCGAAAACTAATCAAACTGAAGGCAATTATAATAAGAATAATAGAGATAGATGAAGGATACAAAGGTTAAATTAGCAAAGGGAGGAAGCTAACGCGGTGTGAAAACGTTATGGCTATGATAAAAATAGTGACCACTGTACATACTTCTTTTGTACATACAGATCAGCCTTAAGTTCATGAATATGTAAAGTCTCCACCATTTTAGGAAGTTGAAAACGAAGAAAACTTGGGAGGTTAAGGCGAATTCGATAACTAATTCTAAAGTGATTGTCTGGGTTTGCTGACTGGTGGAGATTAATCTAATGTTCTAGAATCAAACTTCTAATAGACTTTCTTTTACCTCTATAAAACCAAGCCAGGAACATGTTCTCGTATACGTGTAGAAAGCATTCTCTGATTAAGGCTGATATATCTCACTCCACAACAGCATGTGAACTGGTACATGAAAATACAGGCGGCCAAACGAGGGAAACTTATCTTTGACACAAACACAGAATAGGTTATGCCTGGTAAAAGTCAATTGAGGTCTTGCTGCAAAGAAAGTTCTATTGATTGATTTGTATAGACGATTGATGAGTACATCTGATGCTAGACCACCTTCAAATTCTAGGCACATGAATAATCTTTTCTTTGAGACCTAGTGGATGACCGATTTAATATTTCTTTCCAGCATATCTTCATCAATAAAACGGATAGAGTAATCGTTTTCGATGAGCGCGCTTTTTTTTTAGAAAGGTAGCTCTTCATCAATTCGATCTTCGCTACAGATATTTCTTATTCGATCGCAAAGGGAGTGAATAAGATCTCTCTTCCTGTTGACAAGTACCCAACTTTAATAATTAGTTATTTGTCCGTTTGATATTCTTTTTCCGTTGTTGGATCTTTTAAGGAATTCATTCTTACGTCGGATGAGAAGCGCAACAAAGAAAAGGAATAGTTGATTCTGATTCCTTCTCCATGGTGAACTTGACTGCTTGATAACATCCATTGAACGAACGAAGAACACCGTCTAGATCAATATTTTTATCACAGACAGCAAACGTATCATCCGTATATCTTCTATAATAATTTGACAAAGTTGTAAATTCTCTAATTGCGACATAAAAAAGTCTGCTAATAATGGTCCCAATGGTAAATCCATCGCAATTCCATCTTTCTGTCTATAGATTTCAGTAACGAAACTAACTTGGACATTAAATGTGCACCTTGTCGAAAGCTCTTTCAAGCAGCTAGTTGGTAGTCCTACGTCTAAATTATATGCATCAATATAGTCACATATATAATAGACAATCTTGGTGAGTGGCACACTCGTGAACAATGAAGTAACATCCAATGAAAACATCATCCTGTTCAAAGCATTAAAATCCTTAATACCCCCAACAAACTGGAATGTGTCATGAATAGAAAAACTCGATACTTGCCTTTTAACAGGTTTCACAATTTCAGCTAACCATTAAGCAGTTGGGTGATAAGGTGAACCAGCTATATCCAAAATCAGACAAAAAGGTAATCGCGCTTTATGTATCTTCGGCAGTTCATATAGACGTAGGATTATGGAACCAACTGGTCGGATACGTTCATATAAATCGGGGCCAGTTATTGACTTATCCTTCATACTTCTTAAGATACTTGTGAATTATATTTCAATTATATGTGTATATTGGACTCATCTTCAGGTTTGGTAAACTTAGTGTGATCAGAGGGAATTGCTAAAAGTTTATCAATATACTCTTGACGATTCATTGGAACAACGTCTCGTCCTTCATCATGACGGCTTATGATAATATCCCCGTTATCTCTGATTAATTTTAGCTTTTGTATATGGTCCTTAGTCAATAAAGAGCCAGAATATATTTTGGAGTTGGTAAATTGATGATAACAGTCAAGAACAGTGGACTTGAAATGCTGAAATTTGCAGTTGCTTCAACACTACGGTCTTAGTGCCATAAACATTTATCAACTTCATTCAGCAGCTATATGGAAACGACACATACCAGGTGATCCACAATGGAAAGCTCAGTGACGGCTTTGAAGTGAAGACAGGAGTAAGACAAGACAACGTTGCCTACTATCGCCGATGATCTGCCTGATTGTGGTTGACTGAAGTTGATCATGCAGCAAACCTTGAGGAGCAGTGAGATGATGGACATGTGCTTGGTGGTCACTGATGAAAAGACCCTAGAACATTTGAATTTCACCCATGACGATTTATGTCTAATGTCTTGTGGCACATAATCGAAGATTTACAGGCGAAAACTAACAAGTTGACAGAAGAGGCAGGGCAGCGAAGACTGGACACTATTCACGTGAACGTAGAGAAGAAGAGGTGATGAAGATACACAACCAACCAACCAGCCACCAACAACAAGCACCAATCGCCATCAACGGGAGAAATGTAAACGAAGTTGCCTCTTTCACCTACCTACCACCCCACGCCCACCTGCGTACCACCCCACACCTACCTACCTACCTACCTATCAGGGCAGCATCGTTTCAACTACAGGCGGCTGGACAGACACAGATGAGTATTTCAAAGCCAGCCACGATCTGAAAGACCGCAAGACAGGCCTTCTTTCATTGATTTGGAATCATTGTGGAGATCTACTGCACTCAGAATAAAGCGTCAACAACATCCGCATTTTCAACACCGATTCAGTCAAGTAAGCCAGTGCTTCTATATGCTTCAGAAACTTGACTCGTCACGAAAAGAACTTCCAACAAATTACAGATATTCGTCAACAGCTGCTCACGCCCACTCGATATTGAAGATCGGATGAGATGGCCAGAATAATAAGAATAAGCAACAAGGAACTGTGGGAACCAACAAAGAAAGCAATAACCCATTGCCCAACGAATATGCGCAATAAGAAATTGGAGATGGATTGAGCATACACTGAGAAGGCTGATTGGGGACACCACGCGTCAGTCCAGGCCTTCGAGTGAAATCCAACGGGGAAACGGCAAGTTGGGTGTCCGAGGGGAGGGTGACAGTGAAGAGATCATGTGAGGAGGAAATGAAAGCTATTGAAGCTCTATGTTCCACTGGGAACCCAAAGGTAAAATAATAATAATAATAATAATACTAATCAGTCATCACCCGTTTTAGATAATGATGCATTGATGTACATTTACTGGGGCACGAATATGTGTGTTTTTGTTTACTTAGGATCAAGTAGTGTTCATGTGATGTTGAATTCTATTCAAGTGGGATGAAAATCATGTGAATACTCCAACAAAACGTCGGTCGTTGCTTGGAATCCTGCAGTGGTTCAAAAATTTTCATTCCACCTTTATTCGTCATGCTCAAGTTTTACTCCTATATTATAATGAATTTACTATAAGTCACAACCATGATTAAATACTTTCATTCTGCTCCTCACTGATATCATCCTCAATTATGTTTTCCACTGGTGATTTTGAATTCCCTAACCATAAGGGAAAAAAAAATTATATTCCCATTTACGTAAGACTCAGTAAGTCTGCTTCAAACAACCTGTGACCTTGAGTCAGTAGACCACCTACGCAATAAAGATGAACATGAGCATAAATCATAATATGATTGGTTAATATGATTTAAGAAAAAAAATCAATTGACCAATCATTGTTTAAGAATAACCAACAACCTGACTACTTTCTATCATATTTAGTACTTTACATTCTGGATTATTTAGATTGCTTCTACATATTTATTGATTTTTCAAATTGTTATCATCTAGTAGTTGGGACGAGTTTCAATCAGAAGAATTAAATGTATAACTGTGAAAATTTACTTTACTCCTGTATTTTAATCTAATCTATACTATAATTAAATTAAGAATATTAAATAATGTATAAAAATTTGAATAATTGGCTAATTGAAGAACTTTTACCACCTGAACCTGATCCAAGACTTTCAGAATATGCTTTAATGTCTAGTTGGACACCATCTGTATTACTTTCAATTGTATATTCATTGGGTGCTTATATCTGGAGGTTAGAATTAATTCGAAGACAAAAGAAGACAAATAGCAAGAAAATGAATTCAATGAGAAATAATACTTTTAATCACCAAATCATTACCTATACTATGATATTATATAACATTATTATGGTATTATTCTCTACATACTTGTCAATTTCTACGTTATATTTAATCTATCAACTTGACTATGGACTAGGTTGTATTGAATTACCAGATCCAACAGATAAACGTACTGATGGTTTAGTTTATTATGGATATCTATATTTTATTTCAAAATTTATTGAAATGATGGATACAGTTTTCTTCTTATGTCGTGGTAAAGTGGATCAAGTCACCTTCTTACATGTTTTTCATCATGCTTCAATGCCTCCATCAGTATGGTGGGGATTAAAATATGCTCCTGGTAAGTTTTTCTATGCTGTCACTACTTTTCTTTTTAGTATATCTATCTAAAAATTCTTATTCAAGGTTATATTTAGTATTGAATAAAGATCGAATCGACTAAACACAAGATCATATCAAGAAGATGAGCAGATGTGGGTTCACACCACTATCTAGTATCAACTGCGAGCAATCTACCTTCCAAATCAAGTTGAAAGCCTTCAAAGAAGCTGGTTATGAAAGACCACACTTCAAGTTCAAAACCCACAAAACAAACTGAACTGAAGGACAAAACTACAAGGGACATCTTCACATCAGCCAGTCAGTCATCAGGACAAAATGGGAGATATTGACCAAAATCTCTGAAGGATCTGGTGTGGAAAAACACTGGAACTGTTTGAAAGCTATGCGAACAGAAAGGAAGGAAGGAAGGAAGACAAGGAATTGATCTCGATGGACACATGGAAGCTGATAGAGGAGAGGAGGATGGTGAAGCAGCAGATGAACTAGTGCAAGGATGAACAATGAGAAGAGAAGCTGAGTACAAAGTATAAAACACTCCACTGGACAAAGAAGTGAAGAAGAGTGCACACAAAGACGAAAGACATTTCTACGACACATTGACAAGTGAAGTAGAACTGGCTGCAGTCTGTTAGGAGAGACAGAGACCTGACAACATTCATCATGTCAATAACCTGGTTACTATCTGGGAGAAGAGAGCAATACAGATAAGACCAATAAAAGATAGTGAAGAAAACGACTGGCTGACCACTTCGAAAAGCTTTTGAATCAACTACCACCGGCACTTCGTCCAGATTTGCCACCTGCAGCCACAGGACTATCAGTGATCACAAATCCTTCAACCAAAGTCGAAGTCCTGAACGCCATCAAGCTACTGAAATGTGGGAAAGCAGCAGGACCAGATGGAATCTCACCAGAAGCACTGATAGCAGATGCAGGGACAACAGCGGACATGCTCACACCACTACTGGAGAAGGTTTGGAAGGAAGGAAAGGTACTTGTCGACAGAAAAGGGGATACCTTGTCAAACTCTTGAAGAAGGGTGACCTAAGCTTTTGTAAGTCTTTGCCTACCTTCTTAGGCAGCATCGTTTTAACTACAGGCGGCACAGACGAGGAGGTCAAAGCCAGCCGAGATCGGAAAATCAAGACAATCGTTCATTAACCTGAAACCAATGTGGAGATCTTCTGCACACAGCGTATAGCGTGAACAAGATCCGGATTTTTAACAGCAATTCAGTCAAGTGGGTCAGTGCTTCTGTGTGATGGTTGACAGACTTGGCGCATTACGAAAGGCATTTCCAACAAACTACGCATATTCATCAACAACTGCCTACGCTGGCTCGTTACTCAAGCCCAGATGGCCATAAAGAATAAGTAACAAGAAACTCTGACCGGGAGCGAACCAACGAAGCAAGAACTTATCGTTCAACAAATATGCACTGGAAGGAAGTGGAGATGGATTTGGTATGCCCTGAGAGGACCATTCGGCGAAACCACACACCAGACACTCGAGTGGAACCCAGATGGGAAGCGACGAGTTGGGCGTTGGAGGTGAGGGTGATATGGAGGAGATCGTGTGAGGAAGAAATGAGAGCTTGTGGGCAGTCCTGGAGCCAGGTTGAAAAGATTTCAGAGAAGAGAGTGGAATGGAGGCGTGCTACTGAAGCCCTAAGTTCCACTGGGAACTCATAGGACAAATAGTAATAGTAACAATTATGATTATTTAGTACGGAATGACATAATTTTGAGAACTTTTGAAAATCTGAAAGCTGACAGGTTCATGGGTAAGTATCACTGATGTAGTCAGACGAAACACCTGTTCAATGCTTTCAGGTTTTCAATTATTCTCCAACTTATCTCAGTCTGTGATGAATATTACCTTATAAAGACAGTATCGGTCTTCCTTGGAGTCGTAGATACATTATACAGACAAGCGCCTACAACAAATATTCAAACTAGTCTAAGAAGGACCCCCTGCCCTATTAAATGCTTTCAATCCACTTGCATAAATCAGAATACATCAGTGTGCGAAGCATTTTAGATTCATCAGTAGGTCTTAGTACTGAATACTGAAATGTAGTTAACGATACGACTAAAACATAAGTTAACTTTCCTATGACTATTCAATGAATGAATCTCATGTTTTTTTCAACAACACAGGACGAATGATGAGTCTCAGTGTTTTAATGAGATATATTTTAAAAGGAAGCTTTTCAGATGTATGTAACAAATCTAAATCAAATGTGATTACACTTGATTGGATAATGAACTGAAATTTCTTATGTAACGTCTGAACTATAACACAAAGGTGAATTGATTGATTGTACTGTTCATTTACAATTATTATTATTATTTGTCTCTTAGGTTTCTAGTGGAACATAGGGCTCTCTATTCCCTGCAGTCTTTTCAACCTCGCTCCACAAATGACTATCACCTTTCATTTCTTCCTCACACGATCACCATGTCACCCTTTGGATGCCAAACTCATCGATTCCTATTTGGGTTCCACTCGACGGTCTTGTCTGGTCTGGCCCCTAGTGTGATGTCCCCAAACCGTCTTCGCAGTGTACTTCAAGTCCAATCCATCTCCACACTCTTCTCCCGCAAAATTCGTTGGGCGATGGGTTCTTGCTTCGTTGGTTCGTTGACAGGCAACCATTCCTCCTGGCTCATTCTTATTATTCTCGCCATCTCATCCAATCTTCAGTATCGAGTGAGTGTAGGCCGCAGCTGTTCATCTATGATGGCTGCAGTTTGTTGAAAATGCTTCAACACAACACGCAACCATCACGTGAAAGCACTGACTTACTTGACTGAATAGGTGTTGAAAATGCGGATGTTGTTCAGGCTTTATGTTGAGTGCAGTGCAGTGGATCTCCACACTGATTTCACATCAATGCAGGAAGGTGTGTCTTGCTGTCTTTTCGATCCTGACTGGCTTTGACATGTTAATCTTTGCCTGTGTTGCCTGTAGTTGAAACGATGTTGCCTACGTAGCTGGGTAGATAGTTGTGAGGTGGTAGGTAGGTAGGTAAATAGACAGGTGGGTGGGTGAAAGAGACAACTTCTTTAGGTTTCTCCCGTTGGTGGTGATCGCTGCTTGTTGTTGTTGGCTGGTTGGTTATGTGTCTTCATCATCTATGTCTTCTCTGCGTTTACGTGAATAGTGTCCAGTCTTCGCTGCCCTGCCTCTTCTGTCAACTTGTTAGTTTTCGCCTGCAGATCTTCGAGTTTATGCTACACTAGACATAAATCATCATCCGCAAATTGCAAATGTCCTAGGGTCTTTTCAACAGTCAAACACCAAGCGTATGCCCATCTTTTCGCTCCTCACAGTTTTTTCTTGCGCTATCCAGTCCCGTCAAGTCCAGTCGACCACAAATAGGTAGAACATCGTTGATATTAGGCAACATTGTCTTGTCTTACTCCGGTCTTCAATCCATAGGCGTCACTGAGATTTCCATTGTGGATCACCTGGCACTTGTCGTTTCCATATAGCTGCTGAATGAGGTTGATAAATGTTTATGGCACTAAGACCGTAGTGTTGAAGCAGCTGCCAAATTACTTCTCGGTCGACGCCTTGATCGAAGGCCTTTTCAAAGTCGATGAAGTTGAGGTATAAATCCAGTTGAATGCCATTCTATGATGATGCGTAGAGTGGCGTTGCAATTTAATCCGCTTATGATTCGTACTCCCTGAATCCAGCCTGTTCGCTTCGTAGTTTTGAATCCAGCGTATCCTTTTGTCTCTCTATCTCCAGGATGATGCGGCATAATATTTTGCTTGGTGTGGGCAGCAGCATGATTCTCGGCAGTTCGTGCAAAGACTTAGGTCTCCCTTGTTTGGAAGTCTGATGAGGTAGCCCTTCTTCCAATCGACTGGCAGCTACTTTTTGTTCCTTTCTTCCTTCTTTGCAAACCTTTTGCATTAGCGGTGTGGTGTGAGCATGTCCACTGCAGATGTCTCTGCATCTGTTTTCAGTGCTTCCGGCGGAATTCCGTCTTCTTTTCCTGCCACTTTCCCGAATTTCAGTAGTTCTATGGCATTCAAGACTTTTGCTCTTGTCAGATGGCCTGTGTTCACAGCTAGTTCTGTGGCTGAGTTGCTAGTGGTAGTTCTGCATGAGTTGTATGTGGTTGTGGTGGTGGTCGATTGAAGAGCTTTTTGAAGTGGCCAGCCCATCGTTTCCATTGTTTCTCCTCTTTGGCGGTAACCAGCTTTCCCTCACTACCTTTCATTGGTTTCGTCTGCGTTGATCTCTCTTCTCCCAGATAGTAACCAGGTTATTTGACATGATGAATGTTGTCAGGTCTCTGTCTCTCCTAACAGACTGCAGCCAGTTCTACTTCACTTGTCAATGTGTCGTAGAAATGTCTTTCGTCTTTGTGTGCACTCTTCTTCACTTCTTTGTCCAGTGGAGTGTTTTATACTTTGTACTCAGCTTCTCTTCTCATTGTTCATCCTTGCACTAGTTCATCTGCTGCTTCACCATCCTCCTCTCCTCTATCAGCTTCCATGTGTCCATCGAGATCAATTCCTTGTTTTCCTTCCTTCCTTCCTTCCTTCCTTCCTTCCTTCCTTCCTTCCTTCCTTCCTTCCTTCCTTCCTTTCTGTTCGCATAGCTTTCAAACAGTTCCAGTGTTCTTCCACACCAGATCCTTCAGAGATGTTGGTCAATGTCTCCCATTTTGTCCTGATGACTGACTGGCTGATGTGAAGATGTCCCTTGTAGTTTTGTCCTTCAGTTCAGTTTGTTTTGTGGGTTTTGAACTTGAAGTGTGGTCTTTCATCACCAGCTTCTTTGAAGGCTTTCAACTTGATTTGGAGGTAGATTGCTCGCAGTTGATACTAGATAGTGGTGTGAACCCACATCTGCTCATCTTCTTGATGTGATCTTGTGTTCAGTAGGCTGACTGCATCTCCACTTTCTTCGCACTGAGATGAAGTCGATCTGATTTGTGGTGTAGTGTGTTCTAGTGTCTGGTGAAGTCGAATCCAT